CGTTGCATGGAGCACTTATCCATAGACAGTACTTACATACAATAGATGGTGGTCAGCATGCCCCTATAGTTTGGAGAAACAGGCTGGAGTCCAACATGGAAGCTCAGCAATGTACTGCTGTGGAGGGGTCAGCAACAAAATGTATTTTCGCCACCTACAAAAAAAATCAGTATCAGCTAAAGTGTATGCTATATTTAGAATATTTTCACTGCTTTACTTTGATGTCAGACAGAAATTTCCAACAGGAAAATGAAGCTGTTTTATTGCGCTCTTCAGAGCCGGACTCCATTGAGCAAAACAGTGATTCAACATTGCTGAACACAGGAACTGCTGGTCTACCATGAGCAGTTAGTTTATTAGTGTTATCGTGTGACTCTTGCATTAAAAAGAGTTAGTTTGAATTCACCAAAGGTCGCACAATAACACAAATTAATTGATTGATAGAAGCAGCAGTAGACCAGCAGCTCCCGTGTTCAGCGAGATAAAATTACTGTTTTTGTCAATGGAGTCTGGTGGCTTTGACGAGAGCATAGATGGAGAAGCCATCAAGGGTTTCCCTGTCGAAATGGGCTGTCTGATGGAAAGGTTAAGCAGTGAAAACACTCTCATTAAAGCATACACTTAAACTGAAACAGATTTTTTTGAGGTGGCTAAAAGATTTTTTGTTGCTGACCTCTCCACAGCAGTACATTGTTTAGCTTCCATGTCTGACTCCAGCCTGCCTCTCCAAACTGACATCTACTGTATGTAATACACCGACTATGAATAGAGCTCCATACAACCCCACTTCAAACCATCCAAACTATCTCTTTATAAAAAGCTTTCCACTGTCTATTATGTAACAAAATGAAAAAAAAATGCTGATGAGGTACTTGTAGTGACATTTGTAGTGCTCTTGATTGCTATTTCTGGGGCACAAATGCATTTTTGCTCATTTCTTTTATGTAAAGGGGATGAAATCCACTAACAAAGCCGTGAAATGATGCTGGGGTTGCTCTTGCACCTAGGTGACTGCCTACATGAAGTTTTGAACTGTGAAGTGCAAGGCCACTGGTGGCTTTAAATAAGCAATAAATAGCCTACATATTGGGGTGACTGGAATATAAGTGTGTGTAATTATTCAGACTTTGATGAATGTTTTTTAAATTTATGCTATCATATGATTGTTTTTCAGTGTTTTGGAGCATTTAAAACGTGCAGTGCTGTGATCACTCAGGTTGAAATGGTCTTTTGTCAGCACAGACTGAACCTATTGTGGAAATGGCCTCAAAGAAGGTATTTATGGCACTCGCCCTTTAAGAAGTCGCGCATGCGCATACTAGTGAGAAAGTTAACTCCTGAACTTCGTAGTCAGAAAAATTCTGATTTATAAAATAGCAGGGAAAACACCATTGGGTTGACATGGCATTTCGCCGAAGGAACAAGAGTTACCCTTTCTTCAGCCAGGAGTTCCTAATTCAAAACCATGCCGACATCGTCTTCAGTTTCGTGATTTTCATTTTGATTGGATTGATGTTTGAGGTGAGATGAACTCAGATTCTCTTTTCTTCCCTCGTCTCACTCAGCTGTTTTAAGATGGCAAGCCTGTTGCATATTCAAAGATGTAACTCGGTGCGAAGTGGAAGCGTACTAAACGTAACGAAATCATCTTTTTGCTTTGTAAAAAATGTTTTGCTTGCTCTACGTTACTGCATCTTAGCTTTTATCAGTTGAATCAGTTCCGCGGATATGGTGGCTGACTTGCTGCAGTTTTTTACAAGTTTTGTGAACAATGAATGTTGCTCTGTTCACAAAGTAGCAACGTATCATTTTAAACTGAGCCAACAACTTAAAACTGACAACTACAGGATATAAACGTCGACTTTAGCCGTTCATTGCAACGTTAACGTTAGCTTAGAACGTTATGTTTAAAGTTTTCGTTGTCTTGCTCGTGATACTTTAATTTCAAAAGGAGTTTCGTAAACCGGGATACAGTTGAGAACACATTTGCTGGCGTAGACATAAGTTGTTACTTAAAAACAACAAAGTGTAACGTATTTCCTTCCTAAATTTACCCTTTTGGCAAAGTCTTGTTCCAGTTTCCAGCAAAGACAAACCGCTGCAACATTTTGAGTCCAACATTTGTCAGTTAGCGAAGAGAACCCGTTGAAATAGGAAGTGAAGCGTTTGAGGACTTCAAATTAAAAGCATCGCCGTTGCTTAGCATGGGATTCCAGCGGACGTGTGACTGTGAGGGGTTATATTGTGAAAATCTTAAACGGAAGCGATGTGGTTTTCGTCGCGAGCTCGACAGTGGTAGTTAACTGCCACGTCTCAATCTTTGAACCGCTGCTGCTGGTTCTCAGTTGGCTCTGTCTCTCTAAAGACTGCTTTGACCTGGAGGAATTTCACATTAACAGACAGTGACTGTATTAATGAAATATTTATTAGCTAATAGCTTCTGCTGCGTGCCCTCAAACAGACTCTCCAGGCCGCTGCTCAAGGTTTTAGCAAAGTTTCAATCCGGAACGCTGGTTTAGGTCACACAGCTGGCCGAGTAAAACTAAGTAGGGGATTTCCTTAATTTTTCTAGTTTCGGCAAAAAAAGAGAACAACAGGGCTAAAGCTGTTCTTGAATTTGACACTTTGACAGGTCACCTGTGGCCTCGGCGCGCAAGGAATGACTGGTGACTTGTTGCACTGTGGTGTCCAAGCTGGGGCCAGGGGTCCAACAGGGTCCCTTCAGCGTGACTCTTCAAGTCATATCACTACAATGCTTCAGACAAAATGTTATCAAAATCCAATCATGTCCTACTTATATAAATAAATGATGATGATAAATGTGAGAGCCCACAACAGATGAATGGCGTGGGGAAGATATCTGAGACTCAAAATGGCATTTCTATCATCTTTCGTAATGTTAAATTCACTAGTCGAAAAACAAATGAGTCAACTGACAACAATTTTTATTGCTTAAACTATTTATCAAGCATAATATGCGTGCTATTTTCAGAGTCTTGGCTCCTCACATTTGAGGCTTTGCTGCTTTCCTCATTTTGTGTGTTGTATATTGAACATCTGTGGGTTTTGGACTGTTGGTCTGGTAAAACAAGCAACCTCAAAATGTCCCCTTGGACTCTTTATAGAGCAGTGATACTCAACCTGTGGCCCATGGGCCAAACCAGGCCTGCGATAGGGTGCAGGGTGGCCCGCCAACCATTGTCTAAGTCAGACTTAATTGGTTCACACTGGGATTTTATTTTGTACTTTGAATTTAGATGAAGTGGCAGAGTGCATAAAAAGCATCAAAACAGAGCTTTATTTAAAAAAACAAAAAAACAAAAAAAACACAAGTGCAAGGAGAGGATTCCCCCGGACCCCTGGACAGAAGCCTAGGCTAATAAAGCAGGATTTGTACTTGTGTGCCAGCTCGATACGCCATAGCATCACTGTCACTCTGTAGTTACACCTCCAAAACACTAGTTGGCGGCGGGGTGATTCTGTGAAGTGCCGTAAAGTTTAGTTCATTCAAAACACACATTTCCCCCACAAATACAACATGCTATTGTTTTTAGCACAAGCCTATGGCGTTTTACATTGTATAAATTAGCCTAGGGGCTAGCAGACTTTTCCTCTACTCATATGAAGCCAGGGACAACGGCAACATTTAACAAAGGTAACGTTACAAAATCCGGCTCCATTACCGCTCACAAGGTTCACTGACAAAACAACTGTCTTATACTAAACATGTTTTCCAAACAAATATAACATGCTAATGTCATTAGCACAAGCTTACGGCATTTTACATTGTATAAATTAGCCTAGCGACAAGAGGAGATTTCCTCTGCTCATATGAAGCCAGGATAAATCACACACAGGACTTAAAATGCTATTTTTGTGAAGGCTTTATTATTTACACAATTTATTGTTTATTATCTGTGAAATTAAAGTAAATAAAAGCTTTGTTTCCACTGAGGGAAATGGTTTCAGCTCATAAAAATAGACAGGAGGTCTGCATCGCCACAACATGTAGTTACACTTCTGGGGCGGTGCACGTCAGGCTACGGCGTAGGGTATGGCGTAGGCTCTGTATTGACATAGATTACAATGAAAATGAAATGAAACAATTGAAGCTGAAATCACCAGATGATTGAACATAGTCACAGTTCACAGACACATTTAACAGGGGCCTGCAGCTGCATCTAAAGTGGTTTCAAGCCAGAAAGGTTGGGAAACACTGTTCTATTGAGTTTCTTTGTGAGGATGCTGTCACTGAATAATTTGGGAAGCTCTGTAGCCTCTTCCACATCCCAAGTCAATACAAGCCTTGTCATGCAAGACAGATTTCTCAGCAACGCTACTTAAGGAATTCAGCTCCCAGCAGGTTATTATGATGCCACAGTGGAGGATTGACTGACAGTGTGATAAACAACATTATATATTCTGAAAAGCAAGGACTCTCACTGGCTCTCTTATCTGCCTCACACACTCACAAGCACACACAGACACCTGTTACAAACACACACTTATACTACGATGATACTTTGATGACCGGCCTCTTGAGGTTCACTGAAATATGTTGCTAATTACTATCTCATCTAATTTCCAGGCGACAGCCAAGACGGCCATACTGTTCATTCAGCCTCAGTACAATGTCACCACACAGTCACCAGGTATGCAGAGCAGTTCTTATTTAATGTTCATTTTCACAGTCTATGACTTATCGACACATTTTTAACTCGTACAGTTCACAGTTTCACTTCTGCTGCAGCTGTTCCTTCATGTTGCGTCATATTACCGACACTGAATAGTGATCACAGAATAGGTTTACACTGCTCCAGGATGTTTTAACAAGCATGTGCTGCATTTGTGTTTGACCTCTCCTATGTGTGCTTAGAGGGCGAGGTGACGTTGTACCATTACGGATGGAAGGACTCCGCCACCATCCTCTTCTATTTCTTCATTGCCATCATCCTCCATGCAGTAGTGCAGGAGTATCTTCTGGATGTAAGTACTCAGCACAATGCAGCAGTCAGTCACAAGAGGAGGCGTAGCTAATGTCACACACAGAGGTCCTGCTATACTGTGTTTATACTGTCAAGAGTGAAATACATAAAAAGTTACTGTATAAAATATATATACTATAATAACAGCCTAGAATGAGGGTAACCCTTTATTTTACTGCACCATATTTTCTTAGGAATTTTCCTGTAAAAGATATATGTATAACTTGGTACTATTTTGAGTTACTTTATCCCCAAGTAAATATCCATTCATTATTAATTTATAATAGGAAACAATATCCTCCATGTTGGATTATATGTACACCGACTGAAAGACTCTCTAGTTTAAGCTGAAATTAATTTGAAATACATAATTTCTAGTGTACAAATTCAACACTGTCTCTATGTTCCCCATAATTACTACCAAATTCCAAGGAACTTTTTGGAAATTGTTTGGCCTAGGAACACCTTGGGGACCCCCAGGAGGAGCTGGAAAGCATTGCTGGGGAGGGGGACATCTGGGGTGCTCTGCTTGGCCCGTGACCCGACCCTGGATAAGAGGATGCAAATGGATGTTAGGAAATAATTCAGAAATGATGGACCCATAGAAATAAATATTGTTGAAAGGAGTCATCAGCAATATTATTAATATTATTAGGTACAGACATGCATTACAATATTCCATCAATAGTAGGGAAAATGAAGAATCAGGGATCATTACGAAGTCTTAAAATACATTGAATTAATTAGTCTAAAAATAAGGCATTAAT